CCAGTGGATTACGATGTTTAGAATTGTGGATTATTTTGTCCCTGCCTTGAATGTGAATCAGATTTAACCCTGAAGCCACAGCTGCCTCATCCTCCTGAACTCCTTGAGGAGTTGATTCGGAGGCAACCTACACCTTGACTCTGAAAGGTGTCCCAGGTGGGGGTTGGGGAACTAACAGGATTCACAGCTCAAACCCAGCTGTTAGGTAGGAAGTTAGAGGTGAGTGGCTGGAGGGTAGGGTCTGCCCTGGGGGCCTGAACAAGGGTGGGACCAACACTACCTTTAGACCGCCTTCTATGGGTGTGGTCCAGCACCCAGCAAACCGCCAGCGGGCAGGTTCAGGTTCTTGGCGCAAGCTTAGAGGAAAAGGACGTGACCTCAATTATAATAAAATTTACATTTCTGTTTTCACACACACATGGATTTTTCTGTATGCATTATGGGTAAGAGCATGCCCAGAAGAAATATAGTTATGTAACCCTTTTCTGTCAGTCATCCCTAAATGCAAATGAAAGTCTTAACCCAGAAAATCCCTCATTTAAACCATATAACCCCAAAGTTCCAGGCCCATTGTCTCTCTCAACTGTCCCGTTCCTCACTTGGAGTGTATCTTCAATAAATCCCACTTTGCTTTACTTTTATTTTCATTGACCTTGAAATCTTTTCTGCATCAACGAGAACTGAGGTCCCAACCAGTAACCTCAATGAAATGTGTGCTATGCTGGATGCAAGGTTAGAGGTAAGAAGATGTGATATGACATAATAGTTGGTAGTCAAGGATATTTTAAAATCCAAATACCATTATGAAGGTTCTGGCTACTTATGTCAAGCTTCTAGGTTTTAGCCTCAGTAACATTTACCCCAGGATCTCCCATTGTCTCCCAGATCCTTAGCAGTCCAGCCATGGTAGCTTAACCAGCTTATTCCTGGGGAATTGCTGCTGGTGTGTCATGGTCATATGCATATGAAACAGTTCTGAAAAGGATCCCAGGACCAAATGAGAAGAGCTATATTTCATATGTACCCATTTCCATTGTATTTCATAAAGTTTATATTCTTGAGAATTTTACATTTTATTTTGAACTTCTTAAATTGAATATTAGAAATAAAATATGATTCATAGGAAAATCTACTTACATATCTTCCTGAAGCATCCAGACAGAGAGAGGCCTGAGATTTTAGAATATCAAGATTCAGTGGTATCTTGATCTTTATCAAGTCTAAGAATCAAAAGTGAAGTAGCGCCCAGCAGTGTGGTTCAGTGGTTGGGTGTCGAACCATGCACCAAGAGGTCACAGGTTTGATTCTCTCTCTTCTTTTTTTAAAAAATACATTTTTATTGATTTCAGAGAAGAAGGAAGAGGGAGAGATAGAAACATCAATGATGAGAGAGAATCATTGATTGGCTGCCTCCTGCATGCCCCCCACTGGGGATCGAGCCTGCAACCCGGGCATGTGCCCTTGACCAGAATAGGAATTGGGACCCTTCAGTCCACAGGCTGACACTCTATCCACCAAGCCAAACCAGCTAGGGCTCCCTCTCTTCTTATAGAACCACCTCCAATACCAATATCTATATCATTTAATGTTCAATCAGAAACAGAATCAGGACTGTTCTGAATGCAAGTTGCATAGTGAAATTATACACGTGTTTGGGCACATAGATACACACACACACACACACACATGCGTGCGCACACACACACACATATGCGTGCACACACACACATCAAGACATCCTATATAATAAAAGCCTAATCTGCTAAGTGTCCAGTTGTCCTGTCGGCCGTTCAACCTATCAAAGCTTAATATGCTAATGATATGCCTCTAGTTTATTTAAGGAATTGGCTTATATACTTGTGGAGCCTGGATAGGGGAGAATGAGATTTCTCGGGCAGGCTGGTGGAAGGGCAGGCTGACACTCTGGCAGGAAAGAAATCTGCTGTAAAAGGTGTGATTTCTTTTCCCTGGGGAACGAAGAAGCTTTGCTCCTAAGACTTTCAATGATTGCATCACCCAGATTATTGAGAATCAAATCCAACTGTTTCTGTAATCCAATCAACCCACAAAATACCTTTGCAGCAACACCTAGATTAGTGAGTTTTCTTAATAACTGTGCAGTATACACTAGCCAAGAAGACATGTAAGCCATACCCTCAACGATGGAAAGAAATGTGTCAGTAAGAGCTGAGAAAACAGAAAAAATACAAAGAGAAGTCAGGATATCTACATACTATAAATAATATTGTCAAGCAAAAGGTAATTAAGAAGCAAGAGTTCTAAAACATTATAGAGAAAAAATGTTTATATATGTATACATGTATAAGTAGAGAGCATAGATTCTAAGTCATGTAAATTCTAAATCATATCTTGGGAAAATATGATAGATGTAAAATTGCCTGGTAGAATCTGTACTGCCTCTTAATCTGATTGCTTCAAATTTCTTTCTAAATGTGTTACATAGTTAATTAAGGGATTAAGTAGGAGGGCATTTAAGAAAAGGGAGGGTCACGCTGGGTATTTATAAACCCTGGATCTTGGAGAGCTGCTCAGTTCCCCTCTCCTCTCTGTGGAATCCAGGTACTTCTTCCCAAGATGGGTTTGACCAGCACTGCAAGTGGTAAGTTGCCATCTGCTTTTTGCTCTCTTCTTTGCCACATGCTTTGTGTTCTTTCCAGAGATTATTAAGGTTAAACTCAGTCACAATTAGAGAAATAGATTGTTGGAGTCTGGGGTGTTTTATGTTGATACATTATGTTAGGGGCAGAAATATGAATCATGCTCTGTTAACCATGATTGTTCTGTTCTGGTTAGAGAAAGCACATTTTTCTTTTTAATATCTTTTTATAGATTTCAGGAAGGAATGGAGAGGGAGAGAGCTAGAAACTTCAATGATGAGAAAGAATCATTCATGGGCTGCCTCTTGCATGCCCTCTGCTGGGGATCGAGCCGAAACACAGGCTTGTGCCCTGACAGGGAATCGAACCATGATCTCCTGGTTTATAAGTCAATGCTCAACCTCTGACCTGGCTGGATGAGAAATCACATTCTAACCTGGCTGAGAGTTGTACTCCCTAGGACATGGGAGTTGACCTGGGAATTCGGTCCATTCTCCTTTTTCAAGAAATGCCTATCATCATGGAAAGATTAACAACCTTGTTGCCAAAACAATACACCCCACCCCCGCCCGAATTGCCTCTAATCTGTATCATTTTACCCATTCTTATTCCTTTTGTCTACTTCCCCATGCCTGAATACCCATTTTTATTCCTTTTGCATCCCATTCTTATTCCCTTTGCCTACTTTCCTATGTAATCTTTGTCTTTTTACCCAATATAAGCAGCTAGTTTATGGGGGGAGGCGGGTAAAGCAGATTTTCATGAACAACCTGCTACTCTCCCATACTGCTGGCATTATTGGAATAAGCACTCATATGTGATTCAATCCTGCCTCTGCTTAATTGGCTCAAGTAGTGACAGGCAACCTGGGCCCATTTGTTGTCCCTTTAAGATGTTATACAACAGGAAAAACCTTCTGGGCAACATACATAGTAAGAGACAGCCATGAGTCCCATCTGTGGATTGTCAAAAGTTTTAAAGTTGGCACTTTATTTTTTGTTAATCCTCACCAGAGGATATTTTTTCCATTGCTCTTCAGAGAGTATGGGAGAGAGGGAGGGAGGGAAAGAGACATCAATGTGAGGGAGACACATCAACTGGTTGCCTCCCGAACATGCCCCCATGGAGGCTGGGGATCAAACCTGCAGCCCAGATATGTGCTCTTGACCGGGAATTAAGCCTGAGACCCTTCAGTGTGTGGACCAACGCTCTAACCAGTTAGCAACACTGGCCAGGGCAAAGTTGGCACTTTATGTATTTTTGTATTTTAAATATATTTCTATTGATTTCAGAGACGAAGGAAAGGGAGAGATAGAAACATCAATGAGAAAGAATCATTGATCGGTACCCCCTGCACGCCCTCTACTGGGGATTGATCCTGCAACCCAGGCATGGGCCCTTGACCAGAATCCTTCAGGCCACAGGCCGACATTCTATCCACTGAGCCAAACGGCTAGGGCAAAGTTGGCACTTTAAATGAAGAAAAATATATATGGAATCCCTAAATATTTTATATGTAATTTCCCTAAAATTTATTTTTATCACAAAGTAACAGTTTTTGTATATTTTATTAATTCTATTAAGTTTTTTCATGTGTTACTTGTGTTATTTATTTCCATTAGTTTTCCTGGCTCCTATTGCTTGCTATTCTCTTTGCATGTAATTGCGTGGATTTCCAGTAACTTCTTCCTTTGGTAACTCAGACCATAGGCTGTCTTTTTTTTACATATATATATATATCCAAACTATATGTCTTCAATTTAGCATGACTATAACTCTATTCCTAAAGAAAAAATAAAGAATACAGTCAAACCTTAGCCCTTGAAAGGAATACAGTCAAACCTTAGCCCTTGAAAGTAGTCTCCCATCTCGAACAATTTAGTTCTTGAAAATTCAGTTCTCTACGAAAGTTGTTCACGGAAAAAATGTCTCCACTTTCTAACAAAACTTCAATTCTGAATCTGACAACCCTTTCCTGTTGACACATCAGCATTACAAAAAGCATCTCCTAGGTCCAAACAAAGGAGAGAATGCAGGTCAGTTTACCCCTAACACTCCAGTTGTTTAAATCTCAGGAAATTGTGCTGTGAATATCTTCGTGGGTGTTATTTTGTTTTGTTTTGCTATTGTTGCTAGTGAAATGGATCGTTAGCACAATTTTAAAACATGAAGAGGCCATCAAGTGCCATTGATGCTACTAAGGTTGTGAAAGTGCTCACAAAACAAAGATGACAGACAATTGAGGAAGTAGAAAAACTGTTGTTTTGGATAAACGAAAAGCAGTTGACAGCATTTCTGAGGCAATGATATGTGAAAAAGGGAAGATGCTGCACCCCTGGAACGAGTGCTGAAAGTGATTTAAGACTAGTAGGGATGGTTTAATAAATTTAAGAAAAGAAGTATTTGTTTATAGGTTAAACAGGATATTAGACCTATTGTATATAAGAAAGGTTAAATAGGGAATCACTTAGGGATCTAGAATAAATTAATTCAACTTACATGATTTCTAATGAGAAAGAATGATTTGGTTTTCGAACAAATTGCTTCTCAAATAGCCTTCCAGAATGAAGTAAGTTCCAGAACAGGGGTTCCACTGTAATCATTGGACATACGAGCTTTCAACCTGAAATAAACATAAGACATATGCTCACACAGTTTTTAATACGTAAGCACATCCTTCATATTTCTCCCCCCATTTTCTCTTCATCAGGCGAACTACAGAAAAGACCCTGGCAAGGCAACGTTTTCAACCAGAGTCAAAAGGATATCCTTCTGAAACAGTTTAAACAAAACCCCTACCTTAATAAAGCTACTAAGGAACAGTTGGCCAAGGAGATTGGCGTTCCGGAGAAAAAGATTCTGGTAAGCACTAGCTTCCTAATTCATTATCTATCAGAGTCAAGGTGAATAAAAAAGGTGGGCTCAGCACTGTCAGGCAAATCTCTTATGTCTGGTATGCTTCCCAGAAGGTTTTTCCTGTTACATAACTTTTAAAACAAAATAAAAGGCACAAGAACTCTGTTTATATTTTTTACCAATGGGGGAAACAATTCATTGACAGAAGAATATATTAATGTAGGTTCTCTCATAGGAAAGACTTAAAATCAATTTTAGCAAATATAATAAATTAGATCACTATGATAGCGATATGGTATTTTTTTAAAAAATATATTTTATTGATTTTTTACAGAGAGGAAGGGAGAGAGATAGAGTTAGAAACATCGATGAGAGAGAAACATCGATCAGCTGCCTCCTGCACATCTCCCATTGGGAATGTGCCCACAACCTAGGCACATGCCCCCAACCAGAATCGAACCTGGGACCTTTCAGTCCGCAGGCCGACGCTCTATCCACTGAGCCAAACCGGCTTTAGTAATATGGTATTAAATATTAGAATATATACTGCAGAATAATTATTATCTACTTATATAAAAACCATGGGTGGTGTTCCTCACATACAGATGAACAGCAACCAAGCGGAAGGAAGTCAGCCCTACAGGGATTGTCTTGGCAACTGCTGCACCCACCCCCAAGCTGTTTCCTGTAAGGACGGAGTTTGAGGCAGGAACCCGCCCTGGGAGCATGGAGGCTTACAAAAGACCTACAAGAGAATGAAAGCCGGGTCTGGGTGGATTGCTGCTTCTCTGAGAGACAGCGACCACGCCCACAGCCATGCCTTTATTTTATAGCAGATGCTAGAGGCAAAGTAAGGGCGTGACCAAGATGTTTACAAACATTCTCCTGGGTTTCAATCCTACCCAACTACATGCACCTGAACTCTATCAAGCCCACATCACTCAAGCACATGGGGCCACGTGTTCCGACCATAGGTTCAAGCTTACAACTACAGCTGTTGGCTATAATTGTGCTGGGAGGGCCCTGCCCTCCAAGCTGGGACTTGCCCGTGGCAATGAGAGGACTGTGCCCTCTCATCAGTCCAAGGCTTGAACCTGTCCAAAACACTGTAGCAGCTCCCCACAATAAAGTTTTAATTCTGTTTCTTTGTTACTAATGTTGTGGCCCCACCCCATAACAAAGAAACAA